TAATAGTTTTTCGTTTTGGAAACTAGACTCGCATAGATATCATTTGACACTAATTTGGCTCATTTTGGAGTTCATATGTTATTTCAAATTTCCAGTCAAACATTTTATATGTGCAGCAGATTTTCTGCAGGATATATCATCAGTAAAATGAGTATATCTTTCTCTAGGAAAACTATCTTTAGGTATGGTTTTCTGTTTTGAAAACTAGATTCACATATCTTTCAATTGGCATTAGTTTGGTTCAATTTGGATTTCATTTGTTATTTCAAATTTCTAGCTCAATAGTATATGTGCAGCAGATTTTCAGCAGAACATAACAAGCATGATTATTTGCACAAGAAATCATATGTAAACCTTCAATCATGCACAAAACTTTAAAACGAAGCATAAGACATCTAAATTCAGATAAACAATATTTTAAATTATTTTCAGATCTTAAAACACTTCTATAAATTCGTGCTTAATCTCTTTAACATGAAAAGACCTAGTCTTTATACATATATACAAAAGATCCAATTTTTATACACAAATTAATTGATTTGGCTCTACAAAACTCATTAAAAACTCTTCAAAAATATTTTAAAAACTGGGAGGGGGATTAGTAGATATGATACTCGCCTGGGGTTGAAGGAAAAACTTGTTAGAAGCAACGTCGAAGAAGATCTCCACTCCAAAAGCCAAAAAATCAACAAAAACCCAACTTGAAAGCCTCCAAACTTCTCCAAGAATTCAAAATAGGCTTTATGGGGGTTTGGTGGCTGTTAGGGTTCTTAGATATGATAAAAGAAATGAATTTTCATAAAAAATACAGGTATTTATAGAGGCAAACCCGAAACAAACTAGTTAGACCCGAACCAGGAAACCTAGTCTGACTAGGAAAATACTCCTTCGGTATTTTAGCTGTAACTTTCTCATCCGAGCTCAGAATGAGGTGATCTAAGACTTGTTGGAAATCTGCTGAAGAGACCTACAACTTTGGTCTTTTACACTTTTCCAAATTCTAACTGCATCGGTATGCAAAACATAAAAACTCATAACTAGTCATTATTCCCAGATTTTTACTCTTTTGGCCTTTGTGCATGTTTTGTGCATTTACACTCATATTTTCACAAATATATATTGAATTGATCTCAAATCAATTCTTATCATATCCAAATATTAAAATATATTATTTTGCACTATATAACATATTTATCATTATTTATCATAAAATATTTAAATTTACGGGGTTTTACACCAAGACTATCCGTGATCTTCATCTTAAATCGGGATAAATCCACGCTATCGCAGTGCTCCAACGGAGGTGCGAAACTCAAAGGGATCGACAAAACAGGTGCAGAACGTCATTTGTCTTGATCCTGACATGGGTCAGACTTGAGTGACCTGCGGGTTGGAGGGTCAGATCTGGGTGACCCGCGGCTTGGAGGGTCGGATTTGGGTGACCCGTAGCTTAGAGGGTCGGATTTAGGTGACCCGCAACTTGGAGGGTCGGATTTGGGTGACCCGCAGCTTAGAGGGTCGGATTGAAGTAACCCGCGCTTAGGAGGGTCGGATTGAAGTGACCCGCGCCTTGGAGGGTCGGATTGAAGCGACCCGCACTTGGGAGGGTCGGATTGAAGTGACCTGCACCTTGGAGGGTCGGATTGAAGCGACCCGCACTTGGGAGGGTCGGATTGAAGTGACCTGCACCTTGGAGGGTCGGATTGAAGTGACCCGTGCTTGGGAGGATCGGATTGAAGTGACCCGCGGCTGGGAGGGTCGGATTGGAGTGACCCGTGTTTTTTGATATTTTCGGCCGCTGTTTCGGACTTTGGCCTCCAAGTTTGATGCAGCATTGGTTGTTTCTTAGCTATGTCCTTCTTCTGCATCTTTTATGCCTTTTGCAAAAGAATTCGTGCGTGCTCAAGCACCGCACGACGCTTCTGTATTCGTTCATTAAGTGTTGAACGAATCCTTTTGACTTGGATCCATTCACTTGTTGATGACTTGGAGGAGGGGGCGTTTGCTCGCTATTGTGGCAGTCGATACCTTCTGGACTTTAGATCCGCTTCGTAGCAAATCCCGTCAACCGGTTCCAAAGTTTTAGCAAGTTAGCGCGCGGGTCGTTGGCGTTGCCTTTGGCGTGCCCTCTTCGATAGGATTGGCGCGCCTTCAGTACTCAACTCCCTAATTGAGGAGGAGTTCAGATCTGCAGATCTGGCCTTGTTAGAGGTCGGAGGGGCGTTGCAAGGTGCAGCTACCGTAACAACGGGGGCGTTGATCTTCCTACGCTTGCGAGTGGAGGAGGATCTGGAGGAGGAGGACGACAGATACTCCTCGAACTTTTGTTGGTCGAACTCGTATTCGACCACTTCTTCAACCGGGATGCAGATCCGAGGTTGCGACACGATAGCCTCTGCTGAGAGACTGTTGACTCTCACTGTGGTTGCCAGTTTATTTTTGTCAAAAGTTGCTTTTATTATCATTGAATCTATTACAACTTTGGTCGTTACAATAAACTCGAATAAAATAAAAAAAGTTGATCTTTTTATAAGATCTCCTTACACAATGAAAATAAAAAGTTTACAACTTTATCAAATAAACGCTGAGAGATCGTTTATCAGTCTTCTGCTTATGCAGGATCTTTGCCTGTGTCGGGGTTTATCCGTGGACCATCTCGGATCGGATCCGGTTGACAGAAAATTGACAAGGCTCCTACCTCATCAAGGAAGTATTCGCTTGAAGCGTTGAAATCGACCAAGCGAAATCAGTAGCTCTTCTCGAGATTAAGACCAAGCCTAATCTCAAGGAACGGACGGATGGGGGAAGATACACGTTCAGATCCTTTGAAAGCCTTCCTCTTTATGCTAAAGTTCGCCGGGATCTGACTTGTATTCGCTATAAATTCTGCATCTTTTATGCCTTTTGCAAAAGAATTCGTGCGTGCTCAAGCACCGCACGACGCTTCTGTATTCGTTCATTAAGTGTTGAACGAATCCTTTTGACTTGGATCCATTCACTTGTTGATGACTTGGAGGAGGGGGCGTTTGCTCGCTATTGTGGCAGTCGATACCTTCTGGACTTTAGATCCGCTTCGTAGCAAATCCCGTCAACCGGTTCCAAAGTTTTAGCAAGTTAGCGCGCGGGTCGTTGGCGTTGCCTTTGGCGTGCCCTCTTCGATAGGATTGGCGCGCCTTCAGTACTCAACTCCCTAATTGAGGAGGAGTTCAGATCTGCAGATCTGGCCTTGTTAGAGGTCGGAGGGGCGTTGCAAGGTGCAGCTACCGTAACAACGGGGGCGTTGATCTTCCTACGCTTGCGAGTGGAGGAGGATCTGGAGGAGGAGGACGACAGATACTCCTCGAACTTTTGTTGGTCGAACTCGTATTCGACCACTTCTTCAACCGGGATGCAGATCCGAGGTTGCGACACGATAGCCTCTGCTGAGAGACTGTTGACTCTCACTGTGGTTGCCAGTTTATTTTTGTCAAAAGTTGCTTTTATTATCATTGAATCTATTACAACTTTGGTCGTTACAATAAACTCGAATAAAATAAAAAAAGTTGATCTTTTTATAAGATCTCCTTACACAATGAAAATAAAAAGTTTACAACTTTATCAAATAAACGCTGAGAGATCGTTTATCAGTCTTCTGCTTATGCAGGATCTTTGCCTGTGTCGGGGTTTATCCGTGGACCATCTCGGATCGGATCCGGTTGACAGAAAATTGACAAGGCTCCTACCTCATCAAGGAAGTATTCGCTTGAAGCGTTGAAATCGACCAAGCGAAATCAGTAGCTCTTCTCGAGATTAAGACCAAGCCTAATCTCAAGGAACGGACGGATGGGGGAAGATACACGTTCAGATCCTTTGAAAGCCTTCCTCTTTATGCTAAAGTTCGCCGGGATCTGACTTGTATTCGCTATAAATTCGTGCTCCTTTGACTCCTCAATCCGACAGCACCTCGCCCTCTTGATAATAATCTGCCCCTGTGAAATGAGCCCCTAAGTCTGTATTTATAGGCTTCAGATGTGGGTATTCGGATAAGAATAAGTGATTTGGTCTTATCTTCAGTTAATAACGGCCTAATCATGTTTATGGATAATATCAAGTCAGTTAGGAACCCCTGGAACAGATAAATCCTGCAAAAACCGCTTTAAAAACCGTCAAAACGCGTCAGGGGGTCGAAATAGCGTGACAGACGATGCTGACCCA